CCATCCTCTGGAGTCCATTTAAGCTCACGCTGGCGGCTTTGGTGACTCCATCCAGCCATCTCATTCTCTGTCATCCTTTCTTCTTTTGCCCTCCATCGTTCCCAGCATTAGGCTCTTCTCCTGTGAGTCCTTCCTTCTCATTAGGGGGCCAAAGTATTTGAGTTTCCTCTTCAGGATCTGGCCTTCTAAAGAGCAGTCAGGGTTGATCTCCTCTAGGACTGACCGGTTTGATCGCCTTGCAGTCCAAGTGACTTGCAGGAGTCTTCTGCAGCATCATAGTCCAAAGGCCTCAATTCTTTGGCGCTGAGCCTTTCTTATGGTCCAATCTTCACAGCCATACATTGCAACTGGGAAAACCATTGCCTTGACTTGACGCATTTTTGTTGGCAGGGTGATGCCTCTTCTTTTTAGTATTCTGTCTAGATTTGCTTTAGCTCCTTTAGCCCTGTATTTTTCAAACTTGGCAACCTTAAGATGTGTGGACTTCAATTCCCAGAATTCCCCAACTAGCCATGTTGGCTGAGGAATTCTGGGGATTGAAATCCACACATCTTAAAATTGCCAAGGTTAAGAACCATTGTTTTAGCCTGTCCTTAGAGGCCATGTTCTTAAGTCCCATTGCAATCCTCCGAACTTTCCCTACCTGTCAATAGCCTTTTGGAAAAGGAGCGTTCGGAATCAACACAGAATTCCAGGTCAGTAGAGGGGACTAATGATGTCCCACATTTCAATTCTTCCAATTCTGCCAAGAAATGTATTTGCCCTTCTACCAGTCTCTTACTACTGAGTCATGTTCAGCTTGTGGTCAAGCATTCAAAACAATTCATCTGCCACTATGGAAGAAAACACCAAGTAAGATTTGTTGGATTGGACTGGTATCTGATTTCCTACATTCTTCATTGAGATAGGTATTAGGCTCTTCTCCTGTGAGTCCTTCCTTCTCATTAGGGGGCCAAAGTATTTGAGTTTCCTCTTCAGGATCTGGAGTATAAGATCCTCAACCATCAACAGCCTAATCAAGGAACCACCAAGACCACTCCCACCAACACTGATAGGGTAAACGATTGGTATATAATAATGAGAGTAAACCTCATTCCCATCTAGCACTGATGATTTTGCCTAATTGGATAATGAAATGTCTGCAAGAAAACAACCGAGCTCAGAGAGCACCAAGGACCCCACAACCCAACCCCCTGCAAATGTTCTGTTCTATCACAACCCACAAGAGGGTCACAGGAAAACATGTATGTATAAAAGCTAAAAGGCTAATAGACCTAACACTGAAAATACTAGTCACAAAAAAACACACAACTCAGAAATACACCAAAACCTAAGTGGACAAACATAAATTAAGTAACTCAACAGACCATGGCTAGAATCAATACATCCTCTTTCCTTTTTTGAGCTCTTCCTGCTTCTCCCCAATTTTGGGGGAGAGGGGTATGGCCACTAGGAGGGGGAAAAACCAATTTGATGATGCATAATAAATCCCTCGGACTGCAAGGCGATCAAACCGGTCAGTGTTACAGGAGATCAACCTTGATTGCTCTAGAAGGCCAGATCCTGAAGAGGAAACTCAAATACTTTGGTCCCCTAATGAGAAGGAAGGACTCACAGGAGAAGAGCCTAATGCTGGGAACGATGGAGGGCCAATGAAGAACAGGACAACAGAGAATGAGGTGGCTGGCTGGAGTCACTGAAGCAGCAGGCGTGAGCTTAAATGGACTCCAGAGGATGGTAGAGGACAGGAAAGCCTGGAGGAATGTTGTCCATGAGGTTGTGATGGGTTGGACATGACTTCGCAACTAACAACAATAGATCAACCATGGTTTTTACTTCACAAGAGTTATATTGCTTCAACCATAACTGGATGGTGCTGTCAAGATACTCCAGTTATCAGTTTCCAGATAATTTTTTCCCCTCCGCAGGTCCACTTTTTTGCCTTATTTGCAGGCATTGCCCTGCCATCTGTTGGCCAGAAAGAACAGCGAAACCTGGAAGACAATCCAAGTAGATTCATACTAATGATTGATTTCAAGGTGTAATTAAATAAACAGCATTTATTCATAGGCTGTGTTTTCAGTCCTGCTAAAAATACGTCAGTATCCAAAAGTCTCCCATGATAATATAGTGGAAATGGCCTTTTAGAAATATATTGATTTTCTTGAATCGGGAAAGAATGTCAAGTGATCTGGCTTTACCTCATTTTCTACCAATAAAACTGCAAAAATATTCCCTTTGGAGATCTTTCTTTCCAGAAGAAAACAAAAGACTTTCGATTATAAGAGAACCATTATAACCGGCTTCTTAGAATCTCAGTGCTGCTTCTGCCCAGGTAAATTGCATTAAAAGAAATGCAATTGAAAAATGGCTAAGACTTCTACCGGAAAATCCCATATATTCTTAGGATTTTGTTGAAAAGCAATGACAGTTCAATTTACAGCCGAAAGTATAGAAAATGGGTTCACAAAATCAATTGTGTTTACTGCTTTGGGGTATGGGGGGGACTTGCATTAAATACATAATAAGGAAACAGAGGGTTTTTTTGTATATAGATAACCCTGTTGTAGCTACTCAAGCAAAGCTTTAATATATGTAATTGTCATTTGCTACTTAGAATGCGGTTTCCCCAGCTCATAAAATAGAATGGCATTTTTCTCCTGCTTAATTTATGAAGTGTTTACATTTGCAAAGGTTTACATAGGGGGCAGGTACAGTGTATTACAAGTATTTTATATGGTCATGCTGGAAACATTAATTGTGATGTGTACATTATTTCCTATCTATGTCCAAAGGAAATAAAACAAAACTGCATTCAGTTTTGGTCGCCATGATGTAGAAAAGATGTGGAGACTCGAGTACAGAGAAGAGCAACAAAGTTGATTAGGGGACTGGAGACTAAAACATATGAAGAACGCTTACAGGAACTGGGTATGTCTAGTTTAATAGAAAGACATGATAGCAGTGTTCCAATATCTCAGGGCTGCCACAAAGAAGAGGGAGTCAAACTATTCTCCAAGGCACCTGAGGGTAGAACAAGAAGCAATGGGTGGAAACTGATCAAGGAGAGAAGCAACTTAGAACTGAGGAGAAATTTCCTGACAGTTAGAACAATTAATCAGTAGAACAGCTTGCCTCCAGAAGTTGTGAATGCCCCAACACTGGAAGTCTTTAAGAAGATGTTGGATAGCCATTTGTCTAGAATGGTAGAGGGTCTCCTGCTTTTAGCAGGGGGTTGGACTA